GTCGGCTCTTTTAGATAACCACCAGGGACCAAGAACGAGGGATAGGCCGCGAGCTCAGCGAAATAAAGGCCAGTCAAGGTTGCCTAGAGGATTCTGGTTCATTTATTGAATACATGACAGATCAGACAGACAGTGTAAAATCACATGTATTATTTGTACTTTAAAAAAATTACAATAAATTACTGAATAATTAGTAAAAGCAGTTTTACTAATGGCTGCTCTCCAGAGATACGGAACAGAGGAGGCAGAGAAGTAAGAAACACGTACCGGCTGTGAACACGCACAGAGAACGTCACAGAGAGGAATCAACACTGAATAGCACACCAAGTAGTGTTAAATGGGAACACCCACCAGGTACGTGTCCTTCCCAACCTTTACGCTCCCTACGCCAGCCCAAGGCTGCAGCAAACCTGGCCCCCAGCGCGGGGTCGGCTCTAGCCGAGCGGGAACAGGGCTCCGGCTGCGGCCCTGCGACGCAGGCGCCTGGCCGCTGAGATGAACGCGTCTGTACGAACAGGATTCGTTCTGCTTCCTGGGAGTGGCCGCCCTACCACCAGAAGGTTAACTCTTGGTTTCTTCTGGTCTTCGATTGATTTAAAAAGAGTAGTCAGTCACTCTCTCGGTTATTTCACCTCTTCACTGGAAAGAGATCTAGTCTGTTTAGGTTTTCCCATAACAGGCTGATGGGCAGAGGGCCACACTGCTTTGAATTCTTCCTCTTTAGGAGTAAATGCCCACCGATGTGTAGCGGTTTCTAAGAGACTGTCCATCGCCAGACTCTTCGTACACGGGATGTTCAGAAAGGACACACCGAACAGCTGCAGGTGGCACAACATTCCTGCAAATCCTCCCGCCCCAAACATTTGTAAGGGCAGCCCGCCAAGGGCTCTGGAAAGCTAGATACTTGTATTCATATTTGACTAGTCAGAGCTTTCTTAGGGGTCCTTCCAAAAATAGGACCCATCATTACTCGGCAAAAATGTAGAATCGACAAGAAACAAAAGAAACGTTTTCTGTATTGACAGGGAAAGTCAAGCAGACCAGCGTGCCACTGGCCTGCAATGCTGAGGAGCCGATTCACGCATTTCCAGTTCAGGAATGTACTCCCTCATTACAACTGTTGTGACCCTATTAATTGACCTTGTACTACTTCTGCACTGAAGTCAAGGAGCTTGTGGCTTCCCAGACAAACTAAAAACAATGGCTTTCAAAGAATTAAAAAGCAAAAGCTAGAAAAAAAGGTTTGTCTGAAAACCATCTCCTGAACGCTGGAGGAGAAAAGAAGCGATCATACACTATGAGAATGCCGAACCGCATCCGAAAGAAACCTGCAGATCTGAGAAACTTAAGGTCTGTATTTAGACCTTACGGTGCTGGGAGCAGTGGGGCACATCTGCATTGTAGTTGCTGAGTCACAGAATAGCACTGAGGAACTGAGCAGGACTATTTATAGGCCAAGGTCCTATAGCACTTAGATACACTGCGTTACCTCTCAGAGCAGCAGCCAAAAGTGAACATGGTTTCAAGCCAGGCTGCATCTGCTGTGCAAGTTACCCAGGAACGTACAGCAAACAAGGGCAGGCAAGGAGCAGTTACTGTCTGAAATAAAACTTCATTAAAAAGAAAGATAGCAAAAGGCAGACATGCATAATTTATGGTGGTAATTCTATATATGTCAGGGGCTATTAGGTTCTAATGGCTCTTGAGAATGTAATCTAATTCTTTCAGCCAGAGTAGCCAAAAAAGCACCTACACAAAATAGTCACTGTCAGAAGCCCCTCATCCATTGGGATCTATTGTAATTGTGTAGTTACTGGTCTCTGGTTAAAAAAAAAACACACAAAATACCAAACCATCACACCTGCCATCTGCCATGTTACCTTCCTGCTTTATCTCACAAGACAATTACTGCTTTGTTGAGCTCACCCTGACACAGAGGACAGTTCATAGTCACTGGATGAACTGAACTGCCTCTCCACCTTCTTTTGATCTTTGATCTTTCGGAGGATGTTGACCTTTTTCTCAAAGTAGTTTACAAGGGCTGTCTCTGTCAGCATGGATGCTAAGATCTGCTCAAAGGAGATAGACCAGTCTGTATCAATGGTACTGCCATACCTGGCAGCTGAACTACCGCCTTCGCAACCAACCAGGACTGTGTCATCTGCAATGTCTTCACACTGCAGGGAGCCTGTGCTGACCATGGAGTAGGAAGACATGGACATATCATCTTTGGTTTCATCATCTGATAGCAGCTGTAAAGGAGAGCCTTGTCCTTCTCCTGCCCCATCTCCCAGAGTTTGGTTTTCCTGCTGGGTTTTTCCAGGCTGAGCATCTCCAGGGGCTTTGTCCTCATGGTCAACTTGGGGCTGCTGCTGCTCCACTGCTGAATTCTGACTCTGTTCAGATGTTGGTGACTCCTCTTCGCTCACAGGATCTTGGGTATTGTTTGTTTTGCAGTCTTCAGACTTCTTCGTGGGCCGGTTGGAGAATTTTTTTCCAACCTCCCCAATTCGCAGAAGGAGACTGGCTACAGTGGCAATTGCATGGTACAGCTCTTGCTCCACCGGGTCCTCACTGAACATGTTGTAAAGAGTCTTGCATAACTCTATGAATTGTTCCTTCGAAAGACAAAGACCAAAAATCATACTTCAGACTGCAAAACAAAGTTACAGTGGTGGATGAAGCAACATGCATATCTTCACTGACTCCTTGTTTATTCGCCTCCCCACCAAGTGGCAACTTATTTTACTGAGTCACAACAATCCAAATTCAGGCAAACTGCTCTCTCTGGGGCAGAGGCTAAATTGAGACCCAGACAGAAATGTAAAGACAGATAGACAGATACACAGCTAGATAAATAAATAGATAGACAGATATTCCCCCTGACTGACACACAGAACACTAACAGATTCATATCTGAAAAAAAAAAGAAGCTTTACTTCTGTCCTGCTACTCTTCTGTGGTCAGCTTCTAAGTACGTCCAAACTGGGATAAAACACCCCCATAAAGGAAATCAGAGACAGAAAAGATAACACTAGTCAGCAGATTTTTTTTTTCCCTGTAACCACAATTCTCTCTTCACCAGGTAGCTGTAACTTGAGGCAATGCACAAACAAAAAAGCCAGACAACTTTGTATCACTGGTGGGATATTTGAAACACTGCTCTAGAGGGAAAACGTAGATCGCAGTTCTTTTAGGAAAAGGTAGTCTGGGAGACAGAGAGAATCAAATACATTTGACTAGTGGAAACAAAGCAGTTTGTCAGCCAGATACACATCCACTGAGGAATTCAACGCAACGCTGTGGAATCAGACACTATTAAAACACACCAGACCAGTAGAGCAGGACAATCTACGGGCAAGGACTGAGCACGCCAGCCTAACAGCTGCTACATACTGCTGAATTCTCCCCTAAGCTGTAAATCATCTAACTGGAAATCATTCACTTACCTGGCTCATTTTGGGGAGATCCTTAATGGTTTCTTTCTTGGACTCTTTTTCTTTGGCCCACATTCTTAGGTAATATCTATAGTCCTGTGGACTGGTACCTTTCTCCTCTACAAGACAAGACCAAGCCATTACTGCCAGGTGGTTAGCGGTCTGAGACTTAAAAAGTGAACCCCATGCCAGAAAAAAAGCAGTCCTGGAAGCAAGTTTTAATGACAATTCAGGAGAGGGTCTGTGAAGATGACGGTACTGTTTTCTGCTAGTTTATCTGACGTGGCTCAGTAGAGCAGAAATTTCAACGCTGCTGCATCAGCCTGACGTCTCATAAATGAACTCTATGAGTTGGTATGTTAAAGACTCAGAGCAGTAAAGGCGTGAGAGAGACCTTTTTCCTGGCTAACACCCTGCTGTACCTTTTTCTACGAGGGACATTTTGAAAGGTTTCCTTGATATAGAAAAGGGACAATGAACAGTTGATACTGTAAGAGATAAGACTAGAATGTGGTAAGAAAAAAAAAAAAAAGCCATATCTATTTATGATTATGAAATTACCTTTTTCTTGACAGCTCTCATTTCTCCTTCCTTTGTCTTCCTGCGTTTCTAGAAATAATGGAATTATACAAGAAACTTTAATATCCAGTTTTCAGCAATACAGCACACTGAGAACAATAAGACAACTCAGGTCCAAAGAAACACCACATAAGAATATATTCAGGAGAAGCTGGATCTCAAACTCCCACATAAAGTTTAGAGGAACGAATAGGACAGGATGGAAGCAAGAGACTGATTGGATAAACTGGAAAAAAAGAAGCCACACTGAACAAGTGGGTGAAAGAAGTAGGTAGAAGACAGAACTCTTAAAAGAAAGGGTCAAACGTAGACATAAAAGACAATGAAGCAATGTGATCACTTAAACACAAAGTTGAGCGAGCTAAAGCAAGATAAAAAAAATGAAAAAGAAAAAAAAACCCCAAGCCCCACAAGGCTGTGATACAAGGATAGCTGATAAGTATCTACACTCACTAGTTTTCTTCAACTAAGCTGACATTTTTGGAGCTATTTGCAGAGCCTAACTTTAGGAAATTCACTTCTGGTTCCCCATGTTGCCACTAGACTATACAGGAAGTCTTGGCTTATCTCGGACTGTTAAGTTAACCATCTAGGATCAAACAGCGCAAGCACCCCCTTGTTTGTGCTTATTCACCTAGATTTTTGAAGCATTATCCTAATTTGGCAAACATTTAGCACAAATGACATTTCTTTGACCTTCTCCTCTTTGACAATCCCTAACACGGTATTTTAACAAATACAGTAAATTAAAGTCTACTGACATTTTTACAGTGCAATGACATGTATCTTTATTTCTTTAAATTAGAAGACTGTGGAGGAGGCATAATGATAACACAATTACCATCTACCTGGGCCAGCAAGCCTAGCACCTCACACACTGCTGTGAGCACGTTTTTCCACCCAGTCGCTAGGATGAGGCAAGTTCCACAAGGAGA